CAGGTGCTGTTCTGGCCACGTTCACCAGGGAGCCCCGCTCCGGTCTCTACGTTCTCCACACCGAGCGCTCCCCGGTCGCGTCCTCCCCCCAGGTCGTTGCGTCCCCTCCGGCCCAGGTCCCCAGTCCAGTTGGTGTGTCTAGCCAGGTAGTCGTGTCCGGTCCGGTCGTTGTGTCCAGTCCTGTCGCTGCGTCTTGCTCCTGTCGCTCTCTCGCCCACCGCACCGTCCTGTGGCACCACTGCCTTGGCCACCCGTCGATCCCTCGCCTTCGTGGCATGCTCAGTCAGGGACTTGTCACAGGTCTCGCACGCACCTTCCCGTCGCTCCCTCCCTCGCTTGCCCCTCCTTGCTCTCCGTGCGTCGCCGGTCGCTTACGCGCCACTCCCCACTCCTCCTCCCTTCGTCCGGCCACCGCTCCCTTCGAGACTCTCCACTTGGACGTCTGGGGCCCTGCCCCGATGCAGGGGTCTGGGAGAGAGCCTTACTTTCTGGTGGTCGTCGACGACTACTCCAGGTACACCACAGTGTTCCCTCTTGCGAAGAAGTCCGAGGTGACTGCTACGCTGATCAGGTGGCTTCTAGCCACTGAGGGCACTCGTGGTCTTCGAGTCAGTTGTCTCCACTCCGACCGTGGGGGCGAGTTTCGCTCCGGCATTCTCGGCGGATTCTGCGGCGAACAGGGCATCACCCAGTCCTGGACGCTGCCAGAGTCCCCACAGCAGAATGGGGTTGCTGAGCGCCGCATAGGCTTGGTCATGGACATCGCCCGCACGTCCATGATCCATGCCCGTGCGCCCCATTTTCTGTGGCCCCACGCGGTTCGCTACGCCGCACACCAGCTGAACCTCCAGCCGCGTGTCTCGCGGCCCGAGGCTTCACCGACCAGTCTTTGGACTGGTTCCCCTGGTGTTGGATCGGCCTTTCGAGTCTGGGGCTGCCTTGCACTTGTTCGCGACACCTCCGCGGACAAGCTCTCGGCACGCGCCGTCCCCTGTGTCTTCCTTGGTTTCCCAGTGGACTCTGCCGACTGGTCCTTTTACCACCCGCCCCTCCACCAGTTCCTAGACTCCCGTGACGTCCGGTTTGACGAGTCTGTGTCCTACTACACCCGGTACCCCTGTCGAGGTCTCCCGGTACCCCCTCCCCCCCTTTTCCTAGCACCCTCTCCTCCTCCTGCTCCTGCTCCTCCGGTACCCCCTCCCCCCCCTGGTCCTGCCCCGTCTGGTGTGTCCCACGCTACCCCTCTACCCTCGGTCGCGCGTCAGGTAGCGTCTCCCTCCCCGCAGTCCTCCTCACAGTCCCCTCACCAGCCTTCGGCACTTCCGCGACAGGTTCCTGTGGACTTGGTTGGTGTTGGAGCTGGAGGTGCAGCCGCTGGCGATGCGCGGTCTGGGGGTGCTCGTTCGCGGGGTGCTGGAGCTGGAGGTGCTGGCACTGGGGGTACTCGTTCTGGGGGTGCTGGAGTTGGAGGTGCTAGCATTGGAGGTGCTAGTTCTGGGGGTGCTGGAGTTGGAGGTCCTGACACTGGAGGTGTTGGTTCTGGGGGTGCTGAGTCTGAGGAGACTGGCGCTGGAGACCCTGGTTCTGCGGAGTCCACTCCGCCTCCCCACCGCCACGACACGCGTCTCCAGGCTGCCCGTCGGCGTGAGCGTGAGGAGCAGGAGCGGTTGGAGAGGGAGCGACAGGAGCTGCGGGTGCTGGACCTTCTGGAGCAGCAGCGGCAGCAGCAGCCGCAGCCGCACCCGCCGCTGCAGCCGCAGCCGCCGCCGCAGCCGCAGCAGCAGCAGCCGCAGCCGCCACCGCAGCTTCCTCTGGAGCGGCAGTTGTTCCCACCTGTGAGTGGCCTGCGGGCCCTTGGCCTTTCCTCCTCTCCTCCTGTCCGCTCCCAGTCTCCTCCTGTGTTTGTCCCTCCGTTGCCTCCTCCTGACGACCGTCCGGCGGTCTGGTCTTCTCCTCCTCCTCAGTCTGCTCCTCCTTCTGTCCGTCACGACTTGATTACTCGTTGCCTTCCGCGTGCTCGTCACTCGTCCCCTGTTACTGACCTCCACACTGCCCTCCTTTGTTCGTCTCGTCGTCGTTCTCCTTCTCCTGTGGCCGTTCTCCCGTCTCCTCCTCCGTCCTCTCTCCCAGCCCTCCCCACTCCTATCTCTGACTACTACCGCGCTGTTCGTCCTGTTGCCGCACGTGTCCTCGCCACTCTTGTCACCGACTCTCGTTTCGCTCCGTCGTCTGCCTCGGCTCTTACTGCCGCTGTCGCTGAGTTTGTTGCCGCCAGCCGCCTTGACTACGCCACCCGTGTGGTGCCAGCTCCTCCCTACCGTCCTCTGTCTGTCGGGGGTGGGTTTGCCCTTGGTTGTGACGTCCTAGAGGACAGAGAGTCTGAGCTGGAGTACTGGGCAGCCGCTTCTCCCTCTGTGTGTGCCATGCTGCTCTCCCCTGAGGGAGACCCCGACGCCCTTGACATACCGACTCCTCGCACTTACCGCGAGGCACTGTCAGGGGCGTGGGCCTCTCAGTGGAAAGCGGCTATGGACTCAGAGTTGGCGTCTTGGAGATCCACAGGCACCTACGTCGACGCAGTTCCCCCTCCCAGGGCGAACGTAGTCGATGGCATGTCGCTCTTCAAGGTGAAGCGACCGCCTGGAGCACCGCCGGTGTTCAAGGCGCGCTACGTGGCTAGGGGCTTCAGTCAGCATGAGGGAGTTGACTTCTTCCAGACCTTCGCCCCGACCCCGAAGATGACTACTCTTCGGGTGTTACTCCACATAGCAGCGCAGCGAGACTACGAGCTGCACTCCCTCGACTTCTCCACTGCGTTCCTCCAGGGCCGACTGCATGAGGAGATCTGGCTGCGCCGTCCTCCTGGCTTTTCTGACACCTTCCCACCTGGGACCCAGTGGAGCCTGAGGCGACCAGTCTACGGTCTCCGCCAGTAGCCCCGTGAGTGGCACGACACTCTTCGCTCCACGCTTCGTGACCTTGGGTTCAGCCCGTCCTCCGCCGACCCGTCGCTGTTTGTTCGAGCGGGTTCTACTCCTTTCTTTATCCTTGTCTACGTCGACGACTTGGTGTTTGCTACAGCAGACAGGGCAGCCCTGGCGCAGGTGAAGTCCGAACTGCAGAAGAGACACAAGTGCACTGACCTGGGTGAGCTGCAGCGCTACCTTGGCCTGCAGATCACCCGGGACAGAGCCGCTCGCACCATCACACTGACGCAGTCACACATGGTGCAGCAGGTCCTTCGGCGGTTCGACTTCCAGTTCTCCACCACACAGCCCACTCCTCTTGCTGTTGACCACAGACTCACGGGCCCCTTTCCTGACGAGCCCTTTGAGTCCAGTGGACCCTACGCAGAGCTGGTGGGCTGCCTCATGTACCTGATGACTTGTACCCGACCGGACCTCGCCTTTCCCCTCAGCATCCTTTCTCGCTTTGTTGCGACTGGGAGACACCGCCCTGTCCACTGGACAGCTGCTGTGAGGGTGGCGAAGTACCTGGCGACTACATCAGGCATGGGGCTTGTGCTTGGAGGGACTCAGCCAGTGGCGTTGACTGGTCACTGCGACTCTTCCTACGCTGACGACGTGGAGACTCAGCGCTCGACTCAGGGTTACTGCTTCAGTCTGGGAGCTGGTACTGTGTCGTGGAGGTCTACACGGTCGTCGTCTGTGGCTACTTCCAGTGCAGGGGCAGAGATCTACGCTGGTGCCATGGCGGCACAGGAGCTTCGCTGGTTGACCTTCTTGCTCGCCGACCTTGGTGAGCGGCCTCGCTCTGCACCGACCTTGTACGCTGACAACAAGGCCATGATCCTCCTGTGTCGAGAGCCTCGACTGGAGAGCAGAGTGAAGCATATTGACGTGAGGTACTTCCTCCTGCGAGAGCTACAGCGACGCGGCCAGGCACGCCTGGACTTTGTGGCCTCAGAGGCCAACACTGCAGACGTCTTCACCAAGGCCTTGGCGCTTGGTGATCACCATAGGTTCTGTGTACAGTTGGGGCTTGTTGAGGTAGGCCCTCGGTTGCTGTAGTCTTTTTGTTTGCTCTGCTTGTTGTGCTTCCTATTTATATCCTAGTGAACTCTTGAACTGGCCTTGTGGCCGCTTGCTTGCGCTCGGAATTTGTGTGGTGTCCTTGAGATCCACCCTGAGCTTGCCTTGTTTCTTGCTTTGACTGGTCTTGTGACCGTTTGTTCACCTTGCTTGCTTTGATGCCCCTCACTTAGCCTATGGGGGTGTGTCAAATGTAATTCTATGCTTGTAGGCTACAGTGAGTAGCACAATAGGGAGTATAGTTGTTAGGGTTGCATATTTGTACTTCCACACTTTCTAGTTTCACTATTCCGCTGCATTCAGTTTCTGAGAGTTCCGCCAGAAATCCCCTTGGTGCAAGGAGTTTTCGGTTTCAGGGTAGACCCCAATACAACACTGACTCGTCGGTGTCCTCGAACACAAAAGACTGGAAAATCAGAGTTCAAAATTAAAAAACACTGAAACATCAGGGTCGTTAAAAAAAAAAGCCCGATGCATCAGGGTCATGATAAAAAACGGGGGTCAAACTTCAGGAATTTAGGGTAAAATTCCTGACTTCTGAGGCCGTGCCTTGGAGTACGGTAAATGGCTAGCTAGGACGTTTGGTATTATCCTGTATTGTTATATAAACCTATGTATCCCCTTGTTTTGATTATCTCAGTTATCAGTTACTTTAAATTCAATCTGACCTGAGGTAAATACATCCGCTGCAATTCACTCTTTGTGAACCTTCCTGAGGTGATTCTAGGGGCAAGCAACTTTCTGATCTCAATAGTGCATAACGAACAGATATTTGCACCGCACTGTATCCAGGCTTTACTACGTTTTTCTTTTATTAGGTCACAATCACAATGCGATATCTGAAACATCAACCCTGCTCAGAAACATTTCATTGAACTGCTCATCAGAATGCAGACAGCTCCAGTACAAAATCAACCAAGCAGCAGTCAAGACAACTACACTCAGCGCTCAGTCCGTCTTCTCTACCTTCTTCTCTACATGGCCGGTGGTTGGCCTGCACATGCACATACAGTGGGAGAAGTTAAAACACTGAAAGGACAGCAGCAGCTGCGTAGTGCATTAATGGAGGACGGACTTACAGGCCAACGGAGACCTTGAAGGCGTCATAGATGCCCCATTGCAGCCCGGTGAGTGTGCCCACCATGACAATGCGCAGGGGCAGCCCGCGCGTGCACAGAGCCACGATGCCCATCTTCTCCACCGCCTGTTGGATGACAACAGCATCAAAAACAGTAAATCAGGGGCCAACTATCCACAGCCTGGCAGTGACCCACACGGGCCAGCCTAGTAGTCTTAACGGGAAACAAGGGAGAACCTGGGAAACAAGTCTGTGCCCAATAGAAATTGGTATGTCACTAAGCAGAGGTGCAAGGCGGACTCGGGAGGACTGGGGCCCAAGGGCGCAGTGGGTACCTGGGCGACAGTGGCGCCCTTGGCGTTGTTGAGGAAGGACACGAGGTTGTCAGCGGGGTGCGACACCACGGCGCAGAAGACCCCCGCAATGTACCCCGCGGCGAAGCTGACGCCCAGCTGCGTGCGCTTGGAGCACTCGTCCTTGGGGTAGGGCACCACGTACTTGTACAGCGCCTCCACCGTCTTCTCAAAGCACGCAAACTTCATCATCGTGTCTGCACGCATGCCGGATGGGGGGGGAAACGGAGGGGCTCATGAGTTATTGCTTGCAAGCAGCATGTGCTTCCAGGAGGCTAAAACGAACATAAGAGACCGTGACAGAAGCGCGTGGTCGAGCGGGCAGCTAAAGATTGGGGGCCAGGGTTTTAGGTACAAGAAGAAGAGGAGCAGGGAAACGTCGTGGATCTCAATGTCACAACTAGAGCTTAAATGCCTGTCGGCTTACAGGGAATTTGACGGCCCCATAGAGGTCCGAGACCCTTGTACAGCCTGCACGAAAAAGAAAGCGGGATGAATTGAAGGAGCGCATATGATCGACGATGAACATGACGAGCGATGAAGAAAGACTCGTTTCGATCAAGCATACTCAAGCAGAAACAAAAGCATGCTCTGACCGTGAAGCTTATACTCATTTCGCAATTGTTTGATAAAAGAAAAATGACCCACCCGCCGTATCCCTCCGCGGCGACGTATTTGGGCCAGCCGTCAAGGAGGCCCCGCGCAAAGCCGGGCTGCGTCTGCACGCGCACCTTCACCGCCTCGAACGGGCACAGCGCCAGGTCAGCAATGACCTCGGCGGACGCGGATCCCGCCAAGTAGATGAGCGTGCGGTACTTGTCGCTGAACTCGGGGCCCGCCAGGTCGCTGTAGAGCTTCTTGAAGTACTCGTAGAAGCCGAACTTGCACGCGCCCTGCGCGCTGTACCCGATCAGCGTGGGCGCCCACCCGCGGAAGAAGCCGCGGAAGCCCTGCTCGCTGTACAGCACGCCGAAGCCCGACGAGATGCTCTTGTACTTGGCGGGGTCGATCTGCCACCAGCGGCGCACACACAAACACGGTTTCAGGGATCAGACGCGATCGAGAGGATTCGAGACGCGGCCAGGACACGATGGAGGCGACTCCACAGATCCAGGAATGTGAGGAGCTCATGATCCACATTGAGCTCTTGATTGGTTGTGGTAGACCCAGAACCCAATATGATCCAATCAACACCGCCCAATCAAGATCGGACCGGTGTACTTCAATACGAAACCAATCAGCATCCTTAATTAATCACCATCCGATCACGATCAAAGTACTTGTGTGTAATCTGCTTAATACTCTCCCGCTGATTCTATTCTTTCAAACATTTAGGAGTTGTCAGTCATTAAGAGAGAGGAGTAAAGGTCCAGAAAACGATCATCTAAATGATCCGATCACGAGATCAGGATCGCAATCCTGATCCATTAGTAGAATCAAGACCGGATCAGAACAACGACGTAGTCCACATCGCCCTCACCTGCATGTTGCACTTGACGAGATCGAGCGGCGTCACCGCCATGTGCGTGAGCCCGCAGCTGAGGATGCCGCCCGCCGTGCAGGCCGCGTAGAACTGAGGCGAGTGCATTGCGATCTTCCCCTTTACCTCTGCCGCTGCTGGCACAAAGAACCGACTACCGGCGCTGCCACTGGTGCTGCCGCTGTTGCCGCTGATTCCTCCGAAGCCCGCTTTCCTGGCAAGGTCAAGGCCGTTCCTCGCCGGAACCAGAGCCGACGTGGCTAGCAAGTCGACGGACCTGCTCAGCTCCGGCTGAGCCGAGGCTCTGCGGAGCGCAGCGGCTGCTGCTGTTGAGTAGAGGGACGAAGGGAGGAGTCCGTGTCTCCTGTCGTTAGATGAAAAGGCCATTGAGTATGGAGCGGTAAGCGATCTGGCTGGGATTGATGTGAGGGCGTCTTGAATCGATCTTGGTGTTGATAGTGGCGGATGTGACGTAGTGGGAAGGTGGGTGAGGGAGAGGGTGGTGGTGGTGGTGGAACAGCAGCTGCTGCCAGAAGCAGCCGAGGTAGGAAGAAAAACTTGGCCCAATCGTTGTTTCAAAGAGCGACCAGCTTGGCCCAATAAATGCCTCGGCTGGGAGGGGAGGGAGGGGGGTGAGAGGGAGAGGATCGAAAATCGAGAGGTGGTGGGGTGCGGTTGGGTGTGGAAAGATCGAGGGGGGAGCGAACAGAGTGAAGTGGCAGGTCCTTCCGTTGCGTGGTGGTGCCCCGCCAGCACAACCACACCAATGCTTCACTCTGACTGGACACACCCAGCACCAATGTGGTCTCCGGCGGCCCGAGAGTAGGAATATCTGGATGTGTAACAATCTGGACCGGGGACAATCCGGGCTGCCCGAGAGTAGGAATATTCATCGGTTGACCAATTGCGATTGAAGGGTAGGTGGTGAGACGAGGCTTCGCCAAGAGGCAAGGAGAAACCTCCCAAAGGTTTGGGGAAGGCTATCGGCAGCCACTCACCATACGCACACGTGTCAGAAGAGTCCAATCACCTTGGCATCGTCGTGTGAGCAACCCAAAAAAAAATCTTCGTCAAAGAATGGACGGAGCACATTTCTTAAAGGCACAACGAAAGTAACTGTACCTCTTCGTTTAGGGTTATTAAAGCGTAAAGCACTTAAACGGTTCCCGCGCATTTTGTGAGAATACTAGCGAGGAATGGATGAAATAGAAATGAGATGGGTACAAATAGGGAAACCTAGAAAAGCTGTACCCCCTAATGTCTAACCCACTACAGCCTAAACAGGCTATATCATATATGTTTGACACACCCCCATAGGCAAAGTGGGGAAGAACAAGAGGTCACAAGACCGGTCAAGAAAAGCAAAGCAAGCCCAGAGTGGATCACAACGTCACCACGCATTCTGAGCACAAACAAATGGCCACAAGGCCAGTTCACATGCAGAGTTATATAAAGGAGAACAAGCGATACAGTGATCACAGCCTAGCAAGTGTAAGCATGCATGTATATGTATAGAGATCACAGTACAAGCAGAGTCAAGAAGTAAGCAAGTGAGGCACAGTAGGCACAAAGCCTAGAACAGTACATAAACGCTGATGATCACAAGGCTGAAGGGCAGTGTTGGCCCGAGTGGCCACGTAAGCAAGACGAAGCTGACCACGCTGCTACACCTCTCGAGCAAGGAAGTAGCGCAGAGCGATGTGCTTCGTTCTGTGCTCCAGTCTGTGCTCCTGACACAAGGCAATCATGGCCTTGTTGTCGACGTACAGCACTGGAGGAGAACGAGGCGGCTCTCCAAGGTCGGTCAGCAGGTAGGTGAGCCAGCGTAACTCCTGTGCAGCCATGGCCCCTGCGTAGATCTCAGCCTCACAACTGGAGCTGAGAACAGAAGACGAGCGGGTAGACCGCCAAGAAACAGAGCCGGAGCCAAGGCTGAAGGTGTAACCCTGTGACGACCGCTGCGTAGTCAAGTCGTCAGCCCAAGAAGCGTCTGCGTGACCAGTGAGGACAACTCGACCTCGTCCTCCAAGCACGAGCCCCATGCCCGACGTACTGCACAAGTAGCGCAACACCCTCTTAGCGGCATCCATGTGCTCCTTCCTGTGTCTGCCAGGAGCGACATAGCGTGCTAGAATGCTAAGAGGGTAGGCAAGGTCAGGTCGAGTGCAGGTCATCAGGTACATGAGGCAGCCCACAAGCTCTGGATACGTGCCACTCGGCTCTACGGACTCATCCGAAGGCAGAGCTGAGAGCGAGTGACCGGTAGGCAGAGGAGTGGACTGTGGCGAGGAGTACTCGAAGCAGAAGCGCTGAAGGACCTGCTGCACCATGTGTGACTGAGTCAAGGTAATGGTGCACCGTGCTCTGTCCCGGGTGATCTGCAAGCCAAGATAGCTGCGCAGCTCACCCAGGTCTGTGCACGTGTGTCTCTTCTGCAGCTCCAACTTCACGTGGGCCAGTCCAGCAGTGTCAGCAGTGGCAAAGACCAAGTCGTCGACGTACACGAGGATGTAGAACGGCGGCAGCGAAGTGTCGGTGTGCAGAAACAGCGACGTGTCAGCAGTCGAAGGAGCAAACCCAAGAGCCACAAGCGTCGTCCTCAGTGTGTCGTGCCACTCGCGAGGCACCTGGCGGAGACCGTAGACCGGCTGCCGGAGGCTCCACTGGGTACCTGCAGGAAACGACCCAGTGAAGCCAGGTGGGCGGCGCAGCCAGATCTCCTCGTGCAGGCTGCCCTGTAAGAAAGCTGTGCTGAAGTCAAGAGAGTGAAGCTCGTAGTCACGCTGAGCGGCGACGTGAAGCAGAACCCAAAGAGTGGTCATCTTCGGGGTAGGGGAAAAGGTCTGGAAGAAGTCAACTCCCTATCGCTGACTGAAGCCTCGTGCAACGTAACGCGCCTTGAAGACAGGCGGAGAACCCGGCGGCCGCTTCACCCTGAAAATCCACATGCCACTGACGATATTCGCCCTAGGTGGGGGAACCTCGTCGACGTAAGTGCCTGTGGACTTCCAGGATGCCATCTCTGCGTCCATGGCTGTCTGCCACTGAGAGGAGTAGGGACCCTCTATCGCCTTTGCGTAAGAGCGCGGGGTCGGGATGTCTGGTGCATCCGGGTCTCCCTCATGTGCAATCAGCATGGACATGAGATGAGGTACAGCAGCTGCAAAACACTCAAAGTCCTCCTGCCTGTCCTCAAGGACGTCCGTGCCAAGAGCACACTCACCCCCGACGGACGGAGGACAGACAGACCCAGACTCAGTAACAAGACTATCGGCATAGTCGAGGCGACAGGCAGCACCAAAGTCAACAAGCTCAGTAACTAGGGCAGACGCAGCAGTGGACTCAAACGAAGGGTCAGTGACAGCAGTAGCTAGAAGACGTGTAACAGTAGGACTGGCAGCACGAGCAAGGTCTGACGGCGGGTCAGGGACGTCCGGAAGAGAGGACGCATGAGGAGACGGCAGAGGGATACGCAGTGGAACAGAGGAAGGACGAAGTGCCATCTGGTGCGTGCCGGGGACAGGAGGAGGACGCTGACGCGGAACACGACGACCAGTGCAAACAGCGCGAACAGGCGACGCAGGACGAGACTCAGGCTCACGACGCTCCGCAAGACCTCCGGTCGGCCCAGTGTAAGGAGAAGGACCAGGCAGTGGGGAGGCTGGCTGTAACTGCGACTGCGATTGGTCAGGCGGTGGACACAGTAAGGGAGGAGTAGGGCCAGTAAAAGGCGGGAGACCAAGAACCTGCTGAAGAAGTGGAACGAAGTACGGCCGCGGCCGCGCAGCGCCTCCAGAACCAGCACCGACAGCACCAGTACCCCCAGCTCCAGGGTCTCCAGCTCCAACGCCTGCAGAACCACCAGCTCCAGCACCTCCAGTAGCTCCAGCTCCAGCAGCTCCAGTACCTCCAGTGAGAGCACCTCCGGGACCAGCGGCTCCAGCACCTCCAGTAGCTCCAGCTCCAGCAGCACCTCCAGCTCCAGCAGCTCCAGTACCTCCACTACGAGCACCTCCGGGACCAGCGGCTCTAGCACCTCCAGCAGCTCCAGCACCAGCAGCACCTCCAGCTCCAGCAGCTCCAGTACCTCCAGTACGAGCACCTTCGGGACCAGCGGCCCCAGCACCTCCAGCAGCTCCACCTCCAGCAGCACCTCCAGCTCCAGCAGCTCCAGTACCTCCAGTACGAGCATCTCCGGGACCAGCGACTCCAGCACCTCCAGCAGCTCCAGCTCCAGCAGCACCTCCAGCTCCAGCAGCTCCAGTACCTCCAGTACGAGCACCTCCGGGACCAGCGGCTCTAGCACCTCCAGCAGCTCCAGCTCCAGCAGCACCTCCAGCTCCAGCAGTGCCACTCCGGAGGCTCCAGCGCCGAGCGAACCACACGCGCAGCTGCGGTGGAGAGAGTGGCTCCCGCCGTGACAAGACCTCAAGCAGCACCTCCACCTCCAGAAGACAAAGTACCTCCAGGCGCAACACGCTCAGGCTCAGCACCCCCAGGCTCAGCACCCCCAGACTCAGCACCCCCAGGCTCAGCACCCCCAGACTCAGCACCCCCAGGCTCAGCACCCCCAGGCTCCGCACGCTCAGGCTCAGCACCCCCAGGCTCCGCACGCTCAGGCTCAGCACCCCCAGGCCCCGCACCAGCAGGCTCAGCACCCCTAGCAGCACCAGAGTCGATAGCTACCTCGACAGGCTCGACAGGGTCTACCTGGGACACACCTGAGGGAGCAGGACCCTGAGGGGGGAGGGGGTCTACCGGAGGAGGACCTGGTGCGAGGAAGATCGGCGGGGGAGGGAGAGGGGCAGTGCGGTAGGGGAAGAGATGGTAAAAGGGAACCGACTCGTCAAACGTGACGTCCTGAGAGGGCAGGACACGGCGCGAGGTGGGGTGGTAAAACTGCCTGCCAGGCGCGTCAGGGGGAAAGCCAAGGAAGACGCAGGGAATGGCGCGGGCAGAGAGCTTGTCCGCGGACGTATCGCGGACAAAGGCACGAGAGCCCCAGACCCGGAACACCGACGCATCGCCAACCTCTCCCGTCCAACGCAGTGTCGGCGAGGTCTCCGGTAAGGAGACACGAGGCCTGAGGTTGAGCTGATGCGCAGCGTATCGGACCGTAAACGGCCACAGAAAATGGGGGGCAGCCGCATGGATCATGGAGGTACGAGCGACCTCCATGACTAAGCCAATGCGGTGCTCAGCAACCCCATTCTGCTGCGGAGAGGCCGGAAGCGTGACAGTCTGGTGAATGCCCTCCCCACGACAAAAGTCCCGCAAGAGGTCGGAGGAATACTCACCACCTCTGTCAGAGTGCAAACGCAGGACGGGAAGGCCCGTCTCAAACCGCTCGCGGAGCTGGAGACGAACAGCGCGGATCCAAGGGATCAAAACATCAGAGACCTCCCCCTTGGTGCGCAAGGGGAAGACCGTGGAGTAACGCGTGCAGTCGTCAACAACCAGCAGAAAGTACCGCTCACGGCCCTGTCCACGGACGCGGGCTGGGCCCCACACGTCCATGTGGAGAGTCTGCAGGGGAGCAGTCGTCCGGGGAAACTCAGAGGAGTGAGGAGCGGCGCGCTGCCGCCCCTCGACATAGGGAAGACAGGGAGGAGTAGGGAAGGGTGGGAGGGGAGGGAGAGACCTAGGAAGACAAGAGACAAGGAGACGGGAGTGCATGCCACGAAGGCGTGCCACGGAGGGGTGACCAAGAAGGTGGTGCCAAAGGAGCGTCTGGTGCGACAGGGCGCGACACGAGCAGGGGGGCGACAGCTGACCTGACGCAGACGCAGACGCAGCTACCTGAGGAGGCGCAGTAGTCAGTGTGTACAGTCTCGACCCAGGCCGACGGGTGAACGTGGCCAGGTGCCTCCCAGTCCGGGAGCACGTACAGATCGCCACACGCTGTCCTCCAGGGGTGAAGGTATCAACCCACTGATCCTGAAGGACGGCGTTACTCACCAAGTTCGTAGAGAACGAGGGGAGGTGGAGACCTGACAGTGAGCCAAACGGAACCGCCGGACAAGGCAGAACAGTGGAGGAACGTGCAAGGACTGGGCCCCCAGAGGGGTCAGCCAGAGAGACAACAACAGGTGCAGAGAGCGGTGTGACCGTGGTACTGTCGCGAAAGAAACATCGGGAAGCACCTGAGTCAAGTGTGAAGGTGTGCAGGGCCGCAGCAGACGCAGTACCAGAGAGAGCAGACTCACCAGCACCTAGAGCAGCAGACTCCCTAGCACCTAGAGCAGCAGCCTCTATACCTGGGTCTGGCGGCATACACAGGTAACAGTCACCCTCAGCACTAACAATCAATGCATACATGGCAGAAAAGATAGCATCATAATCAAGAGCAAAGATGTCTACACCCAGCGGGGGAGCTCAGCCGCGTCGGGAAACTCTGTGCGGAAGGCGTCGGTAAGACGAGAGAAGGAGCGGTACTGGGTGTGGAGCTTCCCGCATGTCTGACCAGTGCGGTCACCTGTGCGAATGACATACGGGCAGGGACCACTACCCCCAGCCGCCCCACGCTGAGCAAACCACTCATGTAGCTCGTGGGGCGAAAGCTGACGCTGCTGCTGCTGCCTCTGACCACTGCCAAGGCCTCCCCTCTGACTGGTACCACCCCGGCCGCCACCACTGCCACCGCCTCCACTCCCACTGCCGCCACCACTGCCGCCGCCACTACCGCCACTGCCGCCACCACCGCCGCCACCTACACCTCCACCCCCACCACCACTCCCTCCGCCACCGCCGCCCCCTCCACCGCCTCCACCGCCCCCACCACCGCCTCCACCTCTGCCGCCCCCACCGCCCCTGCCTCCCCTGCCCCTGCCGCTGCGGCGCCTCCCCCTAGGGGCAAACGCAGCTCCTACCTCCTCCGCGAACCGCTGCCATTGTTAATACCGATGAGGTGCCGGTGGTTTCGTGTGGCGACCCGAAACCAGCAGCGTTCACTCTCCCTCCTGCCGTTGCGTCGTCCAGCAAAGGTCCGCAACCGGCCCCCAATCTAGATCCTGCACTAGCGGGGTTCAATCTCCCACCCGCCATCGCGTCGTCGAGTAAAGGCCCTCCCTCAGCAATTGGTAGCAGCGGCTTCGACCATGCCGCTCCCGCGTCTGAGGGACGTTCGCCCAAGAAAGCGCGCAGGATCTTGCTCAAGGGGAAGTTCCAGCAGAGCACGCTGATGTTCGACGGTGTGCGCGTGCCACCACCAGAGGCCGCCGAAGAATCCGAAGCCGAACATGTGGACATACCTGTGCGCGAGGACACCAAGTCTCCCGTCTTGTCAAGGGCCGAGGTAATGGAGCAGAAATTCATCGAGGCAAGTCTGAAATACGACAGTCAGTGGTTGCCCGAATTCCCGTGGCTTCTTTTGGTTCGCGCTAAAGATGGTGGCCCCAGTGTGAAGTGCAGCGTGTGTCTCTCTTTCGGCAAAGAAACTACCAAGTACGCAGGTCCTGGCGACGGTGGACGAGACATGCAGACGCAGACCATGCGCATCCACGAGCACACATCGATACACAAGGAGGCGATGCAGCGACAGGCGGAGATTGCGGAGGCTATATCGAAGGGACAGACAAAGATCGACCGCTTCATCAACGCGGATGTTGAGGGACGGCGCGCGGTCCGGCTGATGAGGTCGGTGCAGTTTATGTGCCAGGAGGACGCGCCCATCAGCATGTTCCCGAAGCTGATGCGGCATCTCACCGAGCAGGACACCCCCGACATCCCAAAGCAATCCTACAGGGTGTACCTCACGAGGTGTGTTATGAAGTTTGTACTTTTGCCGCAGGTGATCAAGAAGTCTTTGAATACTGATGTGTTTGTTTGCCGTACCCCTTGCAGATACGGGTTCCAGCAGATGGTGCACTGCCTCAGCACCTGGTTGACTCGGAGCAAATGCAACACATCGCCTCTTCGCCCTTCCTTGGCTTGAGCACGGACGAGAGCACCGACCGGACTCGCAGGAAGCATATGATTGTGTACATAACTTTCCTGCGCAATCGTCGTGTCGCAACTGAATATCTCACCCGTCTCTGTTGAGAGGGCGGATGCAGCTTCGCTCTTGGGAATTCTGCTGAACCACTTGCACACTGCCAACATTGACGTCAACAAAGTGGTGGGCATCAGCACGGAGCGTCGGTGATGATTGGTTGCGGCAACGGGCTCGTGACTCGACTTCGGGAACATGTGCCGCATCTTGTGTCAACTCACTTCATCGCACACAGGTGAGTCGAACAACTGTTGCTATCTGCTATTGTCTTGTGTTTTTAAACCCGATAGTTTCCTGACGATGTTGCCTGTCTGAAACTGCAGGGAGGCCTTGGCGGTGAAGGACGCCGCAACGGCTAATCCAGATCTCGCTATGGTGGACAGCGTCGTGCGGACGCTGGCGGAACGCCTGGGCAGCTCAAGCCACTGGAGCCAGAGGTTCAAGTACCTGTAGCGCATCATATACAACACGAATATTGAGGTGCAGGGAATCCACACCGTGCGATGGCTGTCGCGGGGCGACGCGGTGAAGCGACTGTGCAAGGTGCTTGGAGCTGCGATTGTACTGTTCCACGAGAAGGAGCACGAGTTGTACGAGACGGTGACGTGCTACAAGTTCCAGTTCTGCCTCTTCTTCCTCGCTGACATCCTCGGCGACATGAACGATCTCAATCGTTCATTCCTGAAGCGTTAGGTGAGCTCGAGTCTGCTGCTTTGCCATGTACTCCGTATAAGCATCTTCTAACCTACTCTCACGCTTGTGTGCAGGTCGATGTCACAGAGGTGGCAAAGACCGTCGAGTCGATCACCGGCGACCTCGAGCACAGGTACCTCGACACCAACGCCTCGTTCGGTGGAAGCGGCAACAGGTGGTTGCCGAAGTTTCTGACGCTGTACGGGAAGAAGTCGGGGCAGACGGTGAAAGTGCGTGGCACGTATGCAGACGCCACCCGATTAACCACTCATACATCCTGCACGAGAGGATGATCAAGGGCCACACCTTCAAGAGCGGCTACAAGGACTGCATGAGGGTGTGTCGCAAATTTGCAAAGGTCTGCGTTGACCGGCTCCTGTTTCGCGCTTCGAAGTGGCCGAAAAGCAAGCATGCCCGCGACCGCAAGTGCCAGGACTGTCTGACTGGATGCAGCGCTCTGTTCAAGAACAAGCTCCCGGGGTTTGACCAGAGGAAAGCCTCGCTGGAGCTGGCTACGTGGTGCCCCATCATGGAGTCTCACCACGAGGAGGAGTCCTTCGCGCAGGGCCTGGCTAGCTTCATGGGGAGCGGCGACGCTCAGAGGTATTTACGTCACCGTGCTTAGAAAATGATATATGGTTGACCTGCAGCTGACGCTGTTCCTAATCTGTGTTTGTTTCCTCGTGTTTGGCAGGCGCTGGCCCAACCTGTTGCTGCTGTGGCAGGCGCTGGCAGTTCTGCCAGTATCAACGTAACGCGCAGCTGGTGGAGCTGATGCAGATCTCTCTGCTGCAGTACGACATGGACTGGCCTAGGGTGCTGGACACCTGGAAGAGCCTCAAGAAGAGGCGCCCGGCGCAGAGCGTGATTTTCTCAGCTGATGATTGGAAGCGCAAGGGGAAGGAACCGGAGGAGGGAGAAGAGGGACCCACCGAGCCGGCTCTCGAGGAGGAGTTCGTGGAGTCCGACGACGAGGGTGACGAGCGGGAGATGGATCAGGAGATTGAGCAGTCGCCACCCCGAGATTACTCAGACGAAGAAGAAGACAACCCTTTCCTTTCCGATGGCGAGGAGGAGGGGGAAGAGACTTACCACATAGATAAGACGCTACACTAGGACTCTGATAGTAGTGTAGCTTGTGTTGTTGTGTAGTGATGTAAGAAGGACTTTCCGCATGCTACCCTGAGAGCACAGGCTACCACTTTCCTGGAAAATGAGCCATCAGACTGGTCAAAATCTTGCCGAAGTTGCCTCAAAATAAAATGATTTTTTTTTTGAGTGGGATCAGGGGGACCAAATTTGAAACGTCAGCCCTGATAAACACACTTTTAATATTTTAACTGGCATTGTAGCATCATTCCTCATCAACATCATACATGTTCTCATGACGCCCTTCATCACTATCGTCGGGCTCGGTCATCTTCTCCTTGCCTTTCCCATGGGCCGGTCTGACTAGCGTAGGTGTTTTGGCAAGTCGTCTCGTCTTCTGCTTTCGCCAGATGTCCACGACATCTTGCCAGTTGTAGGAGTAGTTGAGTATGTGGAGGGACATGGGCTCGCCTAGGCGTGCGTCGCAGAGTGACGTGCGCATCCAACTCTTGATGATGTTCTGCCGATTGAACCCACGCTCGCATTACACTGTACTGAGTGGCAGAACCGTTAAAGCCTGCCACATGGTCATGAGGTTAGAAAAGCTTCGTCGCCAGCCCTTGGTTTTCAGCATGTTTTGCAGCCCCTGGTGGAATTCGTCGTATTCGTGGTGTCTCGCCATGATGTAATAGGAAGTTTTCAGTTCCAACTCTGGTGCCATGCGGTTGAATCCTGCAAACGTTTAGGTAATAAAATATTTCAAAAGTTTATTAGAGACGTTTGTTGGGTGTGTGGTTAAGAACAAAGCCAAAAAAACAATACTCAAATAATCAGCTCACGTCGAACTCTAGCCCAATTTCTAGAACTTACCTGGCCGTTTTTTGCCGAAGAAGTCGTCGTTTTGTGTCAGCCACATGAGGCACCTTCGCTCCCGTTGCTCCAGCTTCTCTTGCCACGCTTCCACCTTGAACAGCTTGGAGCTGGCAATCTGCTTCAGATCCCACATGCGCACGTTCAAGTTAGAAACAAGTTCCTGTGCAAATCGTGTGCCGAGCTTCACGCAATCCGCCAAAGACCCCCGGTACTTGCGGCACTTGATGTCAAGAATACTGAACGAGAATGAATGAACTAAAATGAAAGTGGGTACAAGTACTAACCCTAATTGGGTTGTACCCATTATGGGCTACCCCACTACAGCCCACACAATATGAACATTACAATAGTTTGACACACCCCCATAGGCAATTTGGGGGAGAACAAGAGGTCACAAGACCAGTCAAGGAAAGCAAAGCAAGCTCAGGGTGGATCACGAAGTCACCACACACTCTGAGCACAAGCAAATGGCCACAAGGCCAGTTCACAAGCAGAGTTATATAATGGAGAACAAACAGTACAGTGATCAAAACCTAGCAAGTATAAGCATGCAGGTATAAGTATATAGATCATAGTACAAGCAAAGTCACGAAGTGAGCAAGTGAGACCAAGCAGGCACAAGGCCTAAAACAGTACAGAAACGCTGATGATCACAAGGCTGAAGTGCCTTGGTGAATATATCAGCAGTGTTGGCCCGAGAGGCCACGTACGCAAGACGAAGCTGACCACGCTGCTGCAACTCTCGAGCAAGGAAGTAACGCAGAGCGATGTGCTTTGTACTGTGCTCCAGTCTGTGGTCCTGACACAAGGCAATCATGGCCTTGTTGTCGACGTACAGAACTGGAGGAGAACGAGGCGGCTATCCCAAGCCGGTCAGCAGGTAGGTGAGCCAGCGTAACTCCTGTGCAGCCATGGCCCCTGCGTAAATCTCAGCCTCACAACTGGAACTGAGAACAGAAGACGAGCTGGTAGACCGCCAAGAAACAGAGCCGGAGCCAAGGCTGAAAGTGTAACCCTGTGACGACCGCTGCGTAGCCAAGTCGTCAACTCAAGAGGCGTCTGCGTGTCCAGTGAGGACAACTGGACCCCGTCCTCCAAGCACGAGCCCCATGCCCGACGTACTGCACAAGTAGCACAACACCCTCTTAGCGGCCTCCCAGTGCTCTGGTCAGTGTCTCCCGGGCGCAACGTAGCGTGCCAGGATGCTAAGAGGGTAGGCAAGGTCAGGTCGAGTGCAGGTCATCTGGTACATGAGGCAGCCCACAAGCTCTGGATACGGGCCACTCGGCTCTATGGACTCGTCTGAAGGTGGAGCTGAGAGCGAGTGACCGGTAGGCAGAGGAGTGGACTGTCGCGAGGAGTACTAGAAGCGGAATCGCTGAAGGACCTGCTGCACCATGTGTGACTGAGTCAAGGTAATGGTGCGCCATGCTCTGTCCCGGGTGATATGCAAGCCAAGATAGCTGCGCAGCTCACCCAGGTCTGTGCACGTGTGTCTCTTCTGCAGCTCCGACTTCACGTGGGCCAGTCCCTCAGTGTCAGCAGTGGCAAAGACCAAGTCGTCGACGTACACGAGGATGTAGAACGGCGGCAGCGAAGTGTCGGTGCGTAGAAACACCGACGGGTCAGCAGTCGAAGGAGCAAACCCAAGAGCCGCAAGCGTCGTCCTCAGTGTGTCGTGCCACTCACGAGGCGCCTGGCAGAGACCGTAGACTGGCCGCCGGAGGCTCCACTGGGTACCTGCAGGAAACGACCCAGTGAAGCCAGGTGGGCGGCGCAGCCATATCTCCTCGTGCAGGCTGCCCTGTAAGAAAGTTGTGCTGAAGTCAAGAGAGTGAAGCTCGTAGTCACGCTGAGCGGCGACGTGCAGCAGAACCCGAAGAGTGGTCATCTTCGGGGTAGGGGAGAAGGCCTGGAAGAAGTCAACTCCCTGTCGCTGACTGAAGCCTGGTGCAACGTAACGCGCCTTGAAGACGGAGAACCCGGCGGAGAACCCGGCGGAACGCGCCTGGCGGAGAACCCGGCGGCCGCTTCACCCTGAAAATCCACATGCCACTGACGATGTTCGCCCCAGGTGGGGGAACCTCGTCGACGTAAGTGCCTGTGGACTTCCAGGATGCCATCTCTGCGTCCATGGCTGTCTGCCACTGAGAGGAGTAGGGACCCTCTATCGCCTTTGCGTAAGAGCGCGGGGTCGGGATGTCTGGTGCATCCGGGTCTCCCTCAGGTGCAATCAGCATGGACACGAGATGAGGTACAGCAGTTGTAAAACACTCAATGTCCTCCTGCCTGTCCTCAAGGACGTCCGTGCCAAGAGCACACTCACCCCTGATGGACGGAGGACAGACAGACTCAGTCTCAGCATCAAGACTAGCGGCGTAGTCGAGACGACAGGCGGCAGCACAGTCAACAAGCTCAGCAACTAGGGCAGACGCAGCAGTGGACTCAAACGAAGGGTCAGTGACAATAGTGGCTAGAAGACGTGTGACAGTAGAACTGGCAGCACGAGCAAGGTCGGACGCAGGGTCAGGAACGTCAGGAAGAGAGGACGCAGGAGGAGACGGCAGAGGGACACGCTGTGGAACAGAGGAAGGACGAAGTGCCATAGGGTGCGTGTCGGGGACAGGAGGAGGACGCTGACGAGGAACACGGCGACCAGTGTGAACAGCGCGCACAGGCGACGCAGGATGAGACGCAGGCTCACGACGCTCTGTAAGAGAAGGAGCAGGCAGTGGGGAGGCTGGCTGTAACTGCGGCTGCGACTGGTCATGCGGTGGACCCAGTAAGGGAGGAGTAAGGTCAGTAGAAGACGGGAGATCAAGAACCTCAGTGCCTCCCGAACCAACACCGACAGCACCAGCACCCCCAGGGCCAGCACCTCCAGCTCCAGGGTATCCAACTCTAGGGTCTCCAGCTCCAACGCCTGCAACACCACCAGCTCCAGCAGCTCCTGTACATCCAGTACGAGCACTTCCGGGACCAGCAGCTCCAGCATCTCCAGCACCTCCAGGACCAGCAGCTCCAGCACCTCCGGTACCTCCAGCTCCAGCGCCTCCAGCTCCAGGGTCTCCAGCTGCAGCGCCTGCAGTACCACCGGCTCCAGCAGCTCCAGTACCTCCAGGACCAGCAGCTCCAGTCCCTCCAGCTCCAGGGCCTCCAGCGGCAGGCCCCCCAGCTCCAGCAGCGCCACTCCAAAGGCTCCAGCGCCGAGCAAACCACTCGCGCAGCTGCGGTGGAAAGAGAGGCTCTCGCCGTGACGAGGCACCCGTAGGACCTCCAGCAGACAAAGTACCTCCAGGCTCAGCACGCTCAGGCTCAGCACCCCCAGGCTCAGCACCCGCAGGCTCCGCACGCTCAGGCTCAGCACCCCCAGGCTCAGTACCCTCAGACTCAGCACCCCCAGACGCAGCACCCCTAGCAACACCACCCCTAGCAGCACCAGAGTCGACAGCGACCTCGACAGGCTCGACCGGGTCTACCTGAGACAGACCTGAGGGAGCACGACCCTGAGGGGGGAGGGGGTCTACCGGAGGAGGACCTGGTGCGAGGAAGAGCGGCGGGGGGGAGAGAGGGGCAGTGCGGTAGGGGAAGAGACGGTAAAAGCGAACTGACTCGTCAAACGTGACGTCCTGCACCACTCTCCACCCCTTACCACACTCCAGGACCCAACCACAAGCCTGACAACAAAGCCCTGTCCCCTGCTGGGCTTCACACCTACCAGCAGCAGCTGGGATGCCTACTCTTCGCCTCTGTTACCTGCAGGCCCGATCTCTCCTACATCGCGAGCCAGTTGGCTCAGTAATCTCGCAAACCAAAGGCTGAGAATCTGCTAGATCTTCAGCGGGCACTTCAATTCTTCATTTCCACGCCCAATGTCGGACTCTGCTACTCCACCATCCCAACCTCGTCCTTCAACCTCATCGGCTACGTGGACGCTGATCATGCTGCTGACCCCGACAATCGACGGTCCAGAACAGGCTTCCTCTTCCGCCTCGAGCCCAGCGGCCCCATCTCGCTTCGGCCCGAACTCAGCGGAGTAGTCAAGCGGGTCAAGACTCGCTACGGCCAGGAGTGAAGGGGGGTGTTACGAATAGTAATTATTGAAACATTACTGTGCACTCCTCACCGCAGCAATCGAAGCACACACTACCGAG